GGAAAATACTTTCTTTCTGTGCATCCTCTCCTCCGTCGATTAGGTAGGCAACGCATATGCTATTGCGTATGTCTGTGGGCAACGGTCACTTCGCTATTTCAGCGATTTCAGGTGGCCGCTAGCTCGTTTGCCACCTTATGATATAAAAAAAAAACTAGAACACGATTCTACAAAACTAACGATAATATTAATTCATTGAATCCTGGAAATATAAAATCTATTATACATTTGTAAAAAAAAATTGCATCTTCAAAGACAGTCTACTAACTGCCAAATCGAGGAGTATTACCCTTAAAGTTTGTTATTAATATTTAAGTATTATTTAATTCCATTGCACTATAGTTTATTAGTTTTTTTTTTAAATATATTGACACTTAACAACTTTCTCCTCTTTCATGAATACCGATTAGTTTTCAAACAGAAACTGGCTGTACGTTTGGTCTCGAGACGAGATTATTGATTCTTACTTTACCGCTTACCGTCAAAGCCGTTTGCTGAATAACTTTTTCAATGAGATATCGGTTTTGTAGAACAGACCCTTCACGTTTAAGTACTATGATTAATTCGAGAAAAATCTAAAGCATTTTGATTTTTGATGTATGCCGTTGCCGTAATTATAAAAAAGACGTACTTTTGTCTGAATTTTAGTGGAATAGGACATTATTATGTTCCTAACAGACATATACAAGAGGAACTGTTTGATATACTACGTATAAAAACGCATAACTCACTGATATTAAAGTTAATATTAGTTTGTAATTTTTCTTGTCCTACTGTTGTATTTATGTCGAGAATAAATTAGTAACATTAGAGGAAATCTTACTAAGTTTATAAATGTGAGATTTTAGATGGATGGAAGGATAGATGTTTGTATCTCCGGAACGGCTCAATGGATCTCGGTGAAATTTGGCGTAGATATAAAACATATTCTGGAAGAACACATACGCTACTTATTAAGTTTTTTTTAATTCCACTCGGTAGGAGTCGCAGGTTACAGCTAGTTAAATATTTTATATTAATATTACTGAATTGTCTCTGATTCTGTTATTTATCTTATAACTATAGCAAAGATAACTAACACACCAACTATCCTTGTATTGTAATTAACGATGGTTCGTCTGTTCCACGGGTAATATATTCCTACATACCGGAGAGCAATAATTGGTAATACCTGATCGTAATATTACTGTGTGCGTATCTGCCTGCAGGGCACAAGTCGGCAGCCATGTCGGGAATGTTCCGACTCGGGGTATTAATAATGATTAGAAGGTATACGGCAACGTGCATGAATAGATACAGTAAGGAACAAGGGAATCTTAAGATTGGAATAAAAGGTATAAGATGAAGAATAAAATGTAATAAATTTAATATGTCTAAGCAGACATATCCTTTGGTTATAGGTACTCAAATATTACATAAGAATTTAACTAATTTATATGAAAAAATTAAGAGTGATAAAAATTTGGAACGTTATTGAAATTTATCTTATCATTTTTTTGTTCAACTGGCAAGTTGTTATAAAGTCTAGCCTAAAATTACAATTTTACCTTTAAATTGTTATTTTGTGCGAAATTTTAAGTTGATTACAGGAAATATTTAATTAATTTAAGCAGATTCAGCAGTTGTATTAGGCCCTTCTTACACATAACAACGTAATCTCAAAGTAGTCGCTAAGCGACTTCGCAATTACATGTCATAAAGTTGCGAGCGACTGTCTTTAACGATGTCAGAAAAAAATGTCGGCGACGCGCTCTGTACAGTCCTTGTATTGTGTGAGTCGCCTAGCGACTAAAATCCGTCATGTTTCGAAGACGTTGCCTTGTGTACGAATTGCCTTAATAAAAGACGATATAGATGTCTAGGGGATAATTCATTACTTATACTGTCAACTGTTTTCTATCTAGATTAATGATATAATTTGTTATCTTTATCAAGACTACTTCTGTTTTATATGTTTGTTTTTAATTAATTCTGTACCACAACTGTACAATTGATTCGGAAATTATACTTTAAAAAGATATAAAAAAAAAACAATTTGTTATTTGGAAATAAATAATTCGATTAGTGTGAGTAAATTTATGTTGTATTGTCGTTTTATAAACTGAATTCTATTGTTCTATTTGCTTTTACAGCTCTTCATGCGCCATTGCACTTTAGTGCTGTAACAAAAAGTATAATATACGAGCTTTAGTGAAACATTGAAAGTGAATTTTAGTTTAATCTAGTTTCAACTTGTCAGCCACTTCTATTTGTTATATTGCAACAAGTTTATCTTTCTTTCCTATAATAATTTTTTATATGTACATATTTTACAAAGCTTGTTTGTTTGTTTGTTTAAACGCGATAATCTCAGGAACTACTGGTTCGATTTGAAAAATTTTTTTTTCTTGTTGGATAGTCCATTTATAGAGGAAGGCTTCAGGCTATATAACATTACACTACAATGAATAGGAGCGAAACGTCAGTGAGAAATGTTGAGAAATTTGAGGACTTTCGTTGCGTGCGCTGCATAAACGGTTTAAGTTACTCAAAAATTTGTATGAAAGAATTATTCCTTTTTAATAATCAAAAAAAGTCGGAGACAGTATATGTCTATCCCTTAAGATATACTCATAATAACATAGCTTTGTAATTCCGCGCGGACGGAGTCGCGGGAGACCGCTAGTACATACATATACTCGTACGTAGTTTAACCGTGATTTCGTCAAACAATGAAATTTTTCTTCCTATTTTTTATAATATTAGTGTAGATTATATTATTGGCGTAGCAAAGATAGATAATATTTCCCCTCCTCTGTCTAATCCACTTCTTTCCCATTCTTTCCTTATAAGAAAAAAGTGGGAAGGAAAGACTAAAATTTCCTATAAAAATCGCTTTTGGTAATGTTGTTCTTAATGTTTCCCTCTTTATATCATTTTTTTAGCTAGCCATTTTTCTACAAAACTGAAGCATTTCTGTAAAAATTTATTATCTGCGTGCTACATTTAGTATAATTCCTAGTAAATATAACGAAATATAATAGCCGAACGTAACCGTAAAATGTTCAAGGTACAACCCATTTTACGTTCCCAGTGACATACGGCCGATGATGTTGGTGTACAAAAAAACGTCGCGGTCGACATAGAAGCGTTATTTATGCGGCCAATACGCGATTTATTAGTCGGTGGGAAGCCATGAATCGGACGCGGCGCTTGTTCCCGTCCAGATATAACGCGTGATCGCGACGTCCACCGAAATATTGCGCAGTTTGCCCGCCTGCGCTTTATTGTGGGGATAAATAAAAATCGAATCGATGGCAGAATGCTTTCGGCCCATATTTAAACTACCGTTTTAACATACATAATGTTAATATTGAGATAAGGATTTATGGATCAGAATTTTTCTTTATATTACCACTAGGATACTCTTTGCAAATTAGCTTTTTTATACAAGCAGTTAACGACTTTATCCGCGATGAATTAAAAAATTCTACAAATAAAATTTAGCCTATATCTACCGGGGATAGTGTAGCTTTTAAACAGTGATAGAATTTCTTCAAATCGGTTCAGTAATTACGGAGCCTGTTCGCTGCAAACTAACAAGCAATCAAATATTTCCTCTTTATAAAAGACAAATGAATACATCCCTAAAGAATAACATCGGTACTCAATTGACCTTTTGTATCCACTTCACCTTTGGGCTTACAAGGGTTAAAATTACCCTGCGGTCAATTCACAAAGTTATAGGTTGACACAAAATTATCAAATGAATGCCCAATACGCTAACCTTTAGTAATAAACAACTATGAAACTAACCTTATAATTGATCTCTGGGGTAACGTAAAACTGTAACATGTTACAACAGAGCATAATTATAAGCAATTTTAGGTATAAAACATTTGTTTTCACTGAAACCAATTTTGGTCATTTGATCGAAAATGTTCAACACTGTGACTTCAAAATGTTATTTGTAATTTTAAATTGTTTAGTTTAAACTGTGAATTTGATGACCATTAAAAGACATGATAAAAGAAAACTTGTACCGTCCTTATAAGAATTAAAATCATTATCAGCTCACTATACGTCGCCACCGATGGGCTCAGAACCTACTCTAAGCCAAGGGTGATTGGACCATAGTCAACATCGCTAACCCAGTGCGGGTTTGTTGACTTCACAAATATTTTGGAATTTCTTCTCAGATACGTGCAGGTCGCATCACGGATAAATGTACATATGTAAATGGGAAATCGAAGAACACATGGTACATGGTAGGATTCGAACCCAAGACCTGCAGATTGCAAGTCAATTGCTTAACCCCTGAGCCACCGACGCTCTTAATTAGAACTAAAATACGTACTTAATACTCTTTGAAAGTAATTTTAAAGCAGAATTTCAACTTACTATTATAATTATAATTATACCAAAAGCACTCGATAGGTGTTAAGACACCTTATAAGAATCTTAATAAATCTAGAAATAGACAAAAAAAAAACAAAAAGTGACGGTAGTAAATGTGTCATGTATAAAGTAAGAACATTTTCTAAGTTGACACACCAGTTCACACTTATCAGGATAACAAGGTAATTTTGTCGTAAAGCGAGTCCGGTCGACAGCGAAGCTTTATTTCCCCAGCAATAAATAACAAAGGCACGGATATAGGTGCTTACCTCTATAATAATTCAAACGATTGCTGACTCGCTTCCTCTTACATTGAATTGCAGATAAATTAACTTACTGTAAAACGAATTTCACAAATGGATTGTTTCGATTAATCGAAAGATTGTGCTAGATTCAAAAGATCCTTCATATCAGATGAAGGCTTATTTAAATTAGAAACTAACCCAGTAAGGTTATAAGAATTAGAACTTATTACAAAATACAACACGGGACAGTTTCCTTGTAATTCACATAGATTTTACCATAGATACGTTTGGTTGTAACAATTGAAGATACCTCTAAAATTGAAATGTAAAGAGAAAGAAATAAAATTGGTGTCAAATTTTTGGTTGTTTTTGTTTCAGACCGAAAAGCGGTTCGATGCTTCTATACAGTCGCAAGAAAGTGCGGTACAGGCGCGACGGCTACTGCTGGAAGAAACGGAAAGACGGAAAGACCACACGAGAAGACCATATGAAGCTCAAGGTGCAGGGTACAGAGGTAAGTTTCATTATCATGCAGACATAAATATTGACACCTTTAGGTACTAAACTTTAAACAAACTAAACCTTAGAGAAATTCGCAGAAATTTTGGGGAATATAATACAAACGATGGGTTTGGGAATTTTGGAGTTTCGTACGAATAAACTCTTCGCATTCTATATTGAAATCGTGTTTTGTTATATGCCGCAAACGTCCAACAAAGCACGTCTTATTTTATCAAAGGTAATCGATGAAAGAACATTATCAGCTAACAACTTTGTAACCTAGTTCGATCAGTAAAGTATTTATTCAGGACACGTGTCCTTGAGGTAGTCAACTTATGTACGCTAATACTCGGGCTGGAAGGTAAAGTTTGCTTTATCGAATTGCTTTGTTCAGGTTAGCAAAATGGATATAAATAATATAGTAAGAAAAGAAAATGTTTTCATTCGGTAAATTTATAAATTCCTTAAACTGATATAAAAACGGCTAAACACTCACGTATATTCGTCCGGTGGCGGCACCGACTAGTTTCGAGACCATCGGGGGCCCTTCATCAGTTTAGTGTAATGTCTCACGAAAGTTTGAATAATTTTATAAATGCCTTCATTGGTTAGCATTTTTAAAGCACTGGACATACAAATATTAGATACGGGGTATCGTAACCAAACATTTTTATGGATATCACAATGTAACTAAAATTTAACCTAATTGATTTATCTTCTAATTTGTACAATTCTAGAATCAAAGTAAGCGGACAAATACTCGAAAATAATAGTCGAAAGTCATAAGTAGAGGAATAATTGAAAAATGGAATGAGTTACTATTGAAAATGTGGGAGTCAAAAATAATTCCTGCTTTCACTGGATTCATTATAAATGTAAACTGACTTCATGATACCTTGTTGCGGTATCGCGTGGTATTGTGCCAATGATTGGATTACTTTGTTTTACATATTGAAGCAACGTTACGAGCATGTTAATGTAACCAAGGCGCCAGTAATACCGCAATTTAAAATGTTTCGACATCAATCAATTCAATTTAATTATCAATTTTAATGAATTTACAATCTTTTAGTGAATTATTATTACTAGATGAATTAAAAGAAAGCAGTAGTCTATGTGTTCTTCCTGACTATATTCTACATCCATAACAAATTTCCGCGGGATCCATGCAGCCATTCTGGATATACCTTCAAACAAACATCCATCCATACGTCTAAACAGTCGCATTTAAAATGTTAGTAAGATTTCCTAATTTTTATTTAACTAAATTGAGTAAAATGTTTTGCATTTTCAGTAAGATTATTCCACCACACACTAGCAGCAGTTACATTGTAATGAATTCCAAGCATTAACAAACTAACTTTGTTATCTTTTTTTTTATATCATATAGTGGCAAACGAGCGAGCGGCCACCTGAAATCGCTGAAATAGCGAAGTGTCCGTTGCCCATAGACATACGTGATTGCATATGCGTTGCCTTACCTTTAATCGACGGAGGAGAGGATGCACAGAAAGAATGTATTTTCCCTTCCCATGCATCCTCTCATCCGGAAAGTCCACTTCCACTTCTCATTCTTTCTTTATAAGAAAAAGGATGGGAAGGGAAAGAGGACTAAATTATGCCACCGGGACGCACACTCTTCAGACGAAATGCGGAATTGCTTCCACTTCACGCCTCTCTTCTGTGTGGTCGTGGTATTTCACCGGGCGAGCCGGGCCAATTCGTGCGAAGATGTTAAAGCGGGCTCTACCACTGTTATCTTGTCTACTTTGTAAAATGTCAGGGATCTGTATGTCCCATTAGTCTTCAGTTGTTTATCAACGGATTATTGAAACGTCGTTTTTAAAAAGACTTGCAACTTTTTAGAATGTTTTATGAACACAAAAGATACAATTTTTTGAAGAATAAACTGTAATGATTATTTTAGAATTTTTATCTTAATATTTGAAGTGAAATTACTATGTTTATATTTAATACTAGCTGTCGCCTGCGACTTCGTCTGTGCGGAATTAAGAAAATAATATTCTACGTCTATGCCGAATTTCAATGAGATCCATGCAGTTGTTCTGGAGATATCTTGTAACAACAGTCCATCCAAACATTCGCAATTATAATATTAGTAAGATATACAAACATTCACGTTAATACACACAGAAATGCAGATAATTTCCTTATCATTTTGTTTGTATAGACATTAATAAATGGCGCCGTTTTCGCAAAAGTAGATAATATTCTTATGCGGTTTTTTCACTGCAATCTTTATATCTGAAGAAGTTAACAGTCGTGGAATTTTTCTTTTAAATATGGTGAATTTTGTACTTATAGTTATATTATGTTTTATAAATGGAAATTTAGGATCGAACAGTGAAGAGAACCCAATTAATGATAAACTTCCCGAAGATGGCAGATTTAATTTTACACAGCTAGCTAGAAAATATGGTCATCACGCGATGGAATATAAAGTTACTACTGAAGATGGATATATTCTTGGATTATTTAGAATCCGTGGAAAGAATAGAAGAAATAAGAAAAGACTACCAGTATTGCTAATGCACGGAATCGCTGACTCATCAGATGCTTGGCTTATAAGAGGGAATCTTTCCCTGGGTATTACGTTAGCTAATTCAGGCTATGATATTTGGTTTGGTAATATACGGGGTAACAGATATTCCCGGAATCACGTTAAACTCGATCCTGATAAAGATGTACAATTCTGGGATTTCAGTTTCCATGAAAACGGTTATTATGATCTACCAATTATAATAGATAAAGTTCTAAAGGAAACTGGTTTTAAGAAGTTAAATGCTATCGGATTTTCACAAGGAAATACTATATTTTATGTGCTGTGTTCCACGAGACCGGAATACAATTCAAAGATAAATGTGATGATGGCGTTGGCTCCGATATGTTATTTACAAAATGTACGATTACCTCTTTCATATATTATATCAATATCACCAGTGCTGTACGATTTACTCAGTGATTTGGGTATAAATGAAGTAGCTAATGATAATTCGTTACTTAACACGTTTGAGAAAATTATCTGCACGTTACCAGATATTGGATACGATGTATGCATTGAAAAAATTATGTTCCCTTTTACTGGTTACGATAGTGAGGAACTCGAACCTAGTTTTGTGCCAGTGTTAGTTGGTCATTTCCCGACAAGTACTGCTTTGAAGTCTTTATACCATTTTGCTCAAGTTGGCTATCGAAGGATTTTCGGGCAATTTGATTATGGTATTTCAGGTAACCTTGAGAATTATAATTCAACAATTCCACCAATTTATGATTTGAATTTAGTTACAACAAAAATAGTGTTGTATGTTTGTTTAAATGATAAGATATCGACGGTTGAGGATGTTCAAATTTTGAGATCTAGATTGCCTAATGTTGTTCGTTATATTGTAAGTCCTAGATGGATGTGCAATCATATCGATAATGTATGGGGTAAGCATATGTATGATTACTTGTTCCCGTACGTTTACGAAGTGTTAGAATCATATTAAAGCGTCTGCAAAATATTTAAATAAAATCAATTGTATTAATCAAATTAAATTGGATGGCTATTATTTACTATTAATAAAAGTAAATTTTATAATAAATATTTTTACTACTTATAATTTTCTTCCTCAATTATCCATTTGACAGCATCTATAATTTTTAAATGAGTTCCGTCAGTACAGAAAATGAGGACAGATTATCTATTTTAGATAAAACTTCAATATTTAACCATCTATTTTCATTTAATAGGACGTATTCTGTTTCAAAAAGAATAATGATGTGGGACGCTTTGATCCCGGTTTCCTTTCGAGGCAGTATGCTAGAGGGCGTAGTCACTATGTCAATTGTAGTGCGTTAAGTATTAATTACATGAGGTTGTAAGTTTACAGATAGGCATGTAGCGGCGTGTCTGTTATCGGCGGTGGACGCGGATTGATGAATACACAAATGAAACCGTTCCAATTAAGTGCGGGGGCCGAAGCGGTCCCGCTAATTGGACTCGATAACAGGCTTTGATGCATTTGCAACGTATTTTATTTTTCGAGGGACGCGTTTGGAGATTCGTCGCCAATTGAATTGTTAAATTCGGTGCAAGTGTTTGTTATTACTTAGGCGAACAATTCTTAATGTTTACATATCTTTTTATCATTCATGTGTAATTTTGCTTCGGCCGTTTCTGCATAAGATTTAATTTAATTGTCTTACTACCTTCTTTTGTGTAATTTGATTTGTTTGGATTGATGCAGATTTTAGCAAATTAGAAAGAGAATAAATTTGTATGAGTGTTGAGACGGTGAAAGCTGATAATAAACGTACTTATATTATTATCTGAAGTATTATTAATTTACATCGACACTGTGTACTAATGTACCGGGTTCAAATCCGCGTATGAAGACGACATTACTAAAATTACAGCTAGGCTTAAGCAGTAGTCTGGTAAGCTTCTGGCTTAAGCTATTATTTTAAACGAGGGTATTAGTGTCTTGTATGTTATCGATAATTCATTTGTTTAATCCTCACCAACTTACCATAATTTAGAACTCTTTTACATAATTGTAACTATACCAAAGACGATAGAAAGATTTAGAAGATAAAGTTAAAGATAATTTTAAAATCGACTACACATGAAACAATTTCTGAAGAATGAATTAAACAAAATACTAGATAACTTTATTAAAACTGAATATTTTTAGTAATACATCCACAATCAAACAGTTAGTCAAATATAAATAACAATATAACAGCAAGGTTACGACATTATTTACATTTTCCCGACATTTTGCAATATAAAATAGCATTAGCCGTAAAAAGACAGACTAATGTGTTAATTGAGACTTTAACTAAATTTTATTACTAGAAACAAGTTTGGATATCTTTTTATACGATTTAGTCTGATGATTTTATTAGTTCACTTCGTGTCGTTTACCTTGAAATGAAGTTCGTGCAAATTCTTTTACTAGTTTTATTAAATTTAATTAAAAATAGTTATGTGACTAGTCAAGCTACGTCGATAGCAAATCAATTCTTACCAGAAGATGGAAGATTGAATTTTATGGAACTCGCAAACAAATATGGATACCCAGCTGTAGAATATAATGTGACCACTGAAGACGGATATATCATTCGAATATTCAGAATACCAGGTAAAAGAGATGGAAGACCATTATTAGTTATGCATGGAATCTTCGATTCCTGTGATTCCTGGATTTTACGGGGCAACTATTCTTTTGCTATTTACTACGCAGCTTTAGGATATGATTTATGGTTCTCCAATACTAGAGGGAATAGATATTCGAGACAACATGTCCGTCTTAATCCAGATACGGATCGAGAATATTGGAACTTCTCCATAAATGAGCATGCCTATGATCTAGCTGCTTCTATAGATTTGGTTCTTAATAAAACTGGAGCTAAATCTGTAACAGGAATAGGACATTCACAAGGAAATACAATGTTTTATGTTTTAACTTCAACGCGACCTGAATATAATTCAAAGATTGGTTTATTAATTGCCCTTGCTCCTGTATGTTTTTTACAAAATACGAAACAACCATTGTCTTTACTTATTAATATTTCACCTTTTGTCTATCGAACAGCTTTAGCATTAGGAGTTACTGAAATATTTGGCGATAAATCAACATTGAATACGCTAATAAAATTATTTTGTCCTCAACCTATTATAGGTTATGTCGTATGTGTTGAAGGATTTTTATTTCCCTTGGCTGGAAGAGACAGTGATGAATTAGAAGGTTCTTTCAGTCGTATTGTTCTAGGACATTTTCCAACTGGTACTTCTTTGAAGAATTTATATCATTTCGCTCAAATAGGACTAAGGAAGCAATTTGCGAAATTTGATTATGGTTTTAGGAAAAATTTACAAGTTTACGGATCTGTGAAGGCGCCGCTCTATGATTTGAAGAAAGTTAAAATACCAGTTGCGTTGATAGCAGCGAGAAATGATGTCGTTTCAACAATTGCAGATGTAAATATGTTAAAAAAGAACCTTCCGAATGTTGTTAAATATATAATAAATAAAGATCGTGACTATAATCATGTAGATTATCTTTGGGCAAGAAAGAACAATATATTACTGTTTCCGTATATAAACGTTATTTTGAAGGAAAATAACTAATAATTTTATTAACTGCAATTATTAATTTGATGTTTGTTTTTATCTCAATGGTGTATAATATAGTATAGTTTATTTGGAAATTATATTTAAGTACGAATTACTAATAAAATGATGAAATATGAATAATATTTTTCGATCTTACCGATAGAAAAAGTTAAGTTTATGTTGATTGTCGATAAAACACGAATAAAATGACATTTTCTAAAAATGATTCCTAGCTAGATCGATTTATCACCCCCGAAACCCCCTATATACTAAATTTTATGAAAATCGTTGGAGCCGATTCCGAGATTCCAATTATATATATACAAGAATTGCTCATTTAAAGATATAAGATAACTTGTTAAAAGCATCTGATTAAAGAATTCTTTGTTTTTTCATAGTGTATGTATTTTTTCTAATCATGGTTGCCGCTTGCATGTTACTCAACGGTCACAGCGTACTTTTTGTCCTTTATTGTGAACATATAAATGGCAACCCTGAACGGGGCTTATTCTCGCCGTGATATCGGGCCACGCCACCTCGTGTTTTGTTGCTCGTTTGGAATGACGCCAATTAAGGCAAGGTGAAAGTGACTAGCGTGTGGCGTTATATGTTAAGGAAATAGCATCGACTAAATTAATTGCCGTTTTTTGCCTTTATAAAAAAAAACTATTATGGATTAAACACAGACAGATACTCGTATTATTTTACAGGTAAATTTTTATCATGTTGGTAGTTTGTTCTGTCGGGAATAATTATGTTATGAGTATAATAAGTGCAAACCGACATCAAAGGAAGTTTAACACTTTACAATTGATTATTTGAAAGTGTTTGTGTAGCCATTACGTTGGCAATTTTGAATTTGATGTCGCTCAAAATTACAATTTCCTCACGAACCTCTGTTAAACTTTGTGAGCGTGTAAACATCGTAACGGAGAATTACAAATTATATTAATGAATATAATTTAAATTTCAAGATGTTTTATTCAACACTTTGTGGTATTGCTTTTATTTAATACCCCTTTAATTTTTCAGCCTGTTATTTAGTAACATATTTTAGGATTGTATCAGGTATTTTAAAAGGCAATTTATAATTAGATCTATATCTTTCTATTATACACCATCGTCTGAGGTGCTACAGCCGCGACTGGACCTGGTCAAGTAAATTTCTCCACGCCGTTCTACTTTTGGTTTTCTGCGTCCAACTCTTAACGCTAATATATTTGAAATCAGATACATTATGCGGACTGGTTTTCTTCTTACCAATTCCTGTATTTATTTATTTATCATATTCTTATTATAATACATTTCATATATGAAATAAAAAATTACACAAAATACATTATATTAAAAATAGAGCACCACCGGCTGTGGAACCAGTACCAGTGGTCAGGACTCACTTACTAATATTAATATTGCGAATATGTGCATTGATTTGATTTGGTTTTCTGATAGCATTAGTTTTCTGCAACAGCTATGTAATTAACAGAATTGCTTTGTACCATAATGGTGAGTATCCGCTATCGCTTTTGAATCGTACCTCTTTCGTTACACACGCAAGATTGTCACTGGTTTATGGACGGTAGAGCTTCAGGTGGCAGATAGTGTTCTTTGTTAACAAACTACTATCAATGTGTAGAAATATTATCAACAGAGAAATTAAAATAAAAAACTAAAAAGACCTAGGAATATTCAGATATGAAACACGTTATAAAGTAGATTAAATAATTGTGGTGGAAATTTTAAATGTTTTACATAAAATTCTCGCGTCATAATTTTCGTTCCCGTACTCCTCCGAAAAGGCTTGACCGATTCTTGTGAAATTTTGTGAGCATATTGTAGGTCTGAGAATCGGCCAACATTTATTTTTCATCCCCCTAAATGTTAAGGGTAATCCACCCCTAAATTTATTTTTTTAGACAAACACGCGGACGGAGTCGCGGGCGACAGCTAGTTATCTTATAAAATTATAGTCTTTAAATCGTTTGTAACTTAAATTTCTTACTGTCATCTTCATTACTGAAAGTCGTGCTCGTCTTGATATGGTTTTACGGATGCGTCGACCAGCACCCTTACTTCTTATTAATATAATACGGTTGTTTAGAAGTTTGGATGGTTATTTGAAGTTATCTTCAGAACGGGAAGTAAATATATCGTATAGACTTAGTATAGACATTTCTACAAATTTCCTTAAACGTGCTACTTTCATAGAGAGATAATTTAATTGAAACTCAATTCCCGGTTTTCCAAATGAAAATTTTCGTTTGTACAGCAAGTTAATTATTAAAGTATTAAGTTCAACTCTTAATTATCGACGCCGGTCGAGAGGCCGTGACTTGAATTTGTTTTGGGCCGCCCCCGGTCCTGGCTTGAAGCCAGCCCACCTCTTCGCGAGATCATTTTGCTCATTACAACGATATCGATTGTTAATGCATTTGGCTTTAACATCTCTAACGATTCGATAACATTACAAACAACAATTTGTTAATACATTGTTGGTTTTTAACTCAAAGAACTTGTTTTTAAGTCGAAGAGTTTAGATAAAATTATTTTGTTCTATAGATTAAGACTAGCTGTCGCCATTCCAACCAAAAATAAAAAAAATTGTAGCTTATGTGCTCTTCCATACTATGTTCTATATGTATGTTAAATTTCATTGCGATCTGTTCAGTCGTTCTAGAGATATCTTCAAAAAAAAGTAAACACCTATCAATTTAAACATTCGCATTTATAATATTAGTAAGATATAAAATGTTTATAAAATAGATCGTGTCCCATATATCGTAGTAAAACTTGAAATTTCTAATAAACAACGGCTTATTTGCCTTATAAATAGTTCAATCCGCTTTTATTGATCATGGTAAGCAATGATAAATAGCTCTTATATACCTTATCTTGGATGGAGAAACTGGATACGCTATAATAATATCTAAATCTGTACCATTAAATAAATTGGACAGCGCACTTCTTGCGGATGCAGTATTGAATTTGGCTTTAAATGCACTCTAATAGATAGTAAATTTTATTCTTCGATTTGAAAAGAATGTGTTATTTACTTTAGTAGTAAATTGTATGTAAGTAATATGAGAAAATACATTCCTTTAATTAAATAAAGGCATCGGTGGTTCATGAGTTTGAGCACTTGTAATCTGCAGGTCCTGGGTTCGAATCCCGCTATGTACCAATGTGTTTTTCGATTTACATACATACATTTATCCCACGTTCTTACGGTGAAGGAAAACATCGTGATGCAACCTGCAAATATCTGCGAAGAAACCCGCACTTGGCCAGCGTGGTTCACTATGGTCTAGTCACACCTAACTTAAGGTAGGCTCCGTGCCTTAGAGGGGACGTATAGTGAGCTGATGAAGACATTCATTTAAATTCGAAGTCTAGGCCTTAAATAAACGCGTTTTAAAATAACTTTTACTGCAACATTTATGTAGTACATATTAACATTAAGTAGTTACTCATCTTAAATATGGTTCAGTACTCCTGGTACTTAAACTGCTATAAAAATATTCGAAAACGATAAAAAGCTATTGTTGTAAATACATAGCTAGTCTATAACGGCATGCAATTCGTCCGCGTTATACGATTAACGTCTACCCGGCTTGCGGAGAGATCAATGGATACGTTCTAGTCGTAAAAGTCTAATTCACTAACGGGCAGCATTTCGTCCGGATATTAGATTGTGGTACAAAGCAAAAGAGGTCAAGGTGAAAATTATATAAATTGCCAATATAATTTTTCCAAGTACAAAACTAGCGTAGGACTACAATGAGTTGCCACCATATATTTTAAAGCAATGATAAATTAAGAAATGGTTATAATAAAAAAAAATCTTCTTACAATTTTTTTATTCTAAACGACTCTCCAGGAAAATTTTAAGGGTCTCTAAATACGTGGAAAATTACATTTTTTATAGACGTAATAAAAACAGCACGCCCTAAAAGCTGAGGCTCGTCCGGGACCGCCCTGTGCGCCCTCAATCCAATAGATAACGTATAAACCTGGCAAATGGACACTCGGAATCTAAATCGACTTGCCTAACTGCTGAATCGTATTTTTGCCGAACCAGCCGAGGTAATAACTGAGTACCAAATTTATTTCTGAATTTAACATTTTTTAATCATCCTCCCTTATAAATATGGTATTTTAAATAATCTAATGATCAAAATCTTCGTATACTGTAAAATATCTAAGATGCTGCATCTTTAATTTGCTATAACTGAAAAAAAAACCTTTTGATTAATTATTAGAGATATTGGCCTTATATGATGAAAGATAGAAGATGAAATACGGAAAAAAATAAAGTTAACTTTTAATATAGCTCTAATTCTTTTGACTACCACCTTGATACTATTATGTCCATTTCTGTGTAGATCTTAGATTAAAAAAAATTTCTTTGTTTGACAAAAAAAAACCTTTATCGCAGTAACAATAATTACACAATATCCCGTGTGCATTAGCAAAGGCTCGATACTGATGCATCGCCACATGCCAACGGACAGGGGCTTTGAATAATACATCTCCCGCGAGTGCGGCCGCTGAGTGCTGTCTGCCGTAAGTTATAAGCGAATGACTTGTTGCATTCAAAACATTCAACATTTAGACATACAATGATATACAGAATCATTGACAAAAAGCTGACTATTTGTACGAATTTTCAAAACTAAAAAGTTCCTCTAGATCTAATTATTTTATCTTAGTATGTGTGAATTGACCAAATGATGTATAGAAAATCAACACATGGTAAATCACACATAGTAAACATGCAGTAGCAGTGTGAAGTAGGGCCCTCTGGGTCGAACGCCCAGGGAGGTTATAGGGGGGCGCCACAGGTATCATAGTTAGATATTAAGAGGCGACTGTGCTGCCCCCTAAGATACCCTATATTTGGAAGATTACCCACGACATTAAAAAAGGGGCGCAAACTCTCATCCAGTGCACCAATAATGCTAAAACCGGCCCCGTATACATAGTTGTCTCATGTCATTTGACCCTTGACCAAGTGACAAATGCTTTTACTAAGCTGCAAACAATGAACAGCGAATTTATTTTAACAATAACAATAACCAAATTGCTTCAAATAAAATAGCAATATTTTCTGTTCGTAGCGATATCCAATGTTAGTGTTGCAAACGTAGTAGTGTTAAGAACCTTGATCGTGTTCGATGATACGAGAGAAGTCCCCTGTCACCAGGCACTCGCCGCCCTCTCGCCTCTGTGAAAATAAAAGTCGTCTATCAAGTGGGACGCACGAGCACGTTCCATACTTAAGAAGCTGGCTTGCTTCATTTAATGAGTTCAAGTTCAGTGGAATACTTTTACTTAGTGATGATTTAATAACTCATTTAATTTGATTAAACTTACTTCTTTCTTCATACTGCCATAATAATATTATAAATGAAAATGTTTCGATGGATGTAAGTTTGTTACAATTTATCTCGAGAACGGTTCCATAGATCTCGATTAAATTCGGTATTGGTGTAGAACATAGTCTGGAAGAACACGCAGGCTACAATTTTTTTCTCTTTTTGTTATTATTATTCTTTATCTGTAATATTGCAAAATGTATATATATTAACACGGTCTTTCTGTATATTTTTAAACATAATATATTTCAATCTATTAATAATTAAAATTAGTTAATAGCAGTGTTATTGGAACACAAAAAAACCCAATTCAGAATTAGGAGGGTAAAGACGTAAACGTTTTCATTGTGAGAATAAAATATCGAAAGTTAGAAATCAAAATTTCATATATTTTTATAGACAACATTTTTATTATAAATGTTTGTCTCGTTCGCGGTCTCCGCCGTCTCTTGTTACTTGATCAAATATTAGCCTGTGCAAAGCCTTCTGTAAGTAACGAAGTTGCAGGCGCCAATTGTGTATTTCTCTTGTTAAAGATAGCGTGTTGTGCATACTGGACTAAACTATTCGAATGTATGGAATGTATGGGTTCTGAATACACTATTGTAATCAAATTATTATTCCTACAATGGACCTTTGTTGACTCTAATCGATAATTATTCTAATATAATTTACAGTGGTAGAGCCCGCTTTAACATCTTCGCACGAATTGGCCCGGCTCGCCCGGTGAAATACCACGACCACACAGAAGACAGGCGTGATGTGGAAGCAATTCCGCGTTTCGTCTGATTAGTGTGCGTCCCGGAGGCCTAATTTAGTCCTCTTTCCCTACCCACCCTTTTTCTTATAAGGAAAGGATGGGAAGTGGAAGTGGTTTTTCCGGATGAGAGGATGCATGGAAAGGGAAAATATTTTCTTTCTGTGCATCCTCTCCTCCGTCGATAAAAGGTAGGCAGCGCATATGCTACTACGTATGTCTATGGGCAACGGTCACTTCGCTATTTCAGCGATTTCTCGGTGACCGCTCGCTAGTTTGGCACCTTATGATATAAAAAAAATAGTGTAAAATAATTTTAGTCCATTTAGTCATGACGAGTAAGATTTGTCTTTTTATATCATCAACACCAACTCTAGTGATCTAGTCATCCTTGCTAAGGCACTAGATCACAGTAAACTACTCTCTCTCTAACCTGGCTCAGTGCGGTTTAACTTCACACATATCTTTGAATTTATTCGCTTTTTCATGTCCTACATTAGAAGTAACATTGATGTAATTTTCTCTTTTTAACTAGTGTTAATAATTTCCGTCTTTTGTTTACATTTGTTTATTTTTTTTTTAATCTGTATTATTTCTTTTGCAGTGCATCTATGGATGTTACGTCCATTCAGCCATCCTGCCGACATTCCATCGAAGATGTTACTGGCTTTTACAGGTAATTGACAATTTTTACTTTCTTAAGCTATAAGATATTAAGTAACCTTCACAATATCTAATTAAGTCCTGAATAATCTAATTTTGAAGTTATTTTTGTCATTTAAAGTCGTTGGGATTTCACAAATAATCTGTGAAACACAAACTATTTTGACAAATGTTATTATGTGTCGTGTTATTTATACTTATTCAGTACTTTGTTTAGACATTGTAAAAGGTTCTTTTAAATACTTCTTAAGTGTGTTATTAACACGCATTTGATGAAATTACAAATTTTTTTCATTGATTGTCATTTGATAAAGGATGGGACTAATTTTTATGACCAGTAATAGGAAATGGTCCTGAGAAGACTGAAGGTCATTGACCTGCATATTCTTATTTTAAACGCTTCATACCATTTCAATACTGAAGAGAAATATCGTAATGGATGTTTTCACTTTATTATAAACGATATCTCTAATGTTGTTTCAATATTCAATACGTGAAAACTTTGAAATACAGCTTTTTGATATCTTCGTATGGAATTGATAGAACTGATGGTACCACGAATTGGATCGTTCCGTTCAATATTTGCGACATATTTCCACCGGAATCGTTGAAATATTAATAGAATCTCGCAAACTTTCCGGATTTACGTCGTCGGGGAATCGGCGCTGAGGCAGTAAATGTGATTAAAGATTTCTATCGTACATCACGTGTGTAAGAAATTATATTTATAGATTTTATTACGTCTTACTCTCGATATGGTTTATATATTGCTTAATTTCTATTGCCATTACTATTAACGCCTGAATTATATACACTAGTGGTCGCCCACGACTCCTTCGACGCAGGAAATAAAAACATAATGCCATAAATCTGTGCCAAATTTTGTCATGATCCGGTTAGCCTTTCCGGTGGTACCTCGTAACATCCATCCATCCATCTAAACATTCTCATTTGTAAAATGAGCAAGATTTTTCTGGAAGACGTAAATATTTTTATTTATAATATTGGAACATGATAAAGTTATATTAATAAACCGCTAAAAGTGAACAATTTTTTTTCACATGATAAAAATGAACCAAAAAAATGACAAATGTACACACAGCTGTATACAAACTTATATTTTTATACGATTCTCTTTTCTAGTATAGTTTTGGAAAACCGCTTTATGGAATGTAGGTCAGCAGGCAAAATATAAGCGTGTAATTGAATTTCTGATAGTAGCAACGTTCAGATGCATCTGAGCCCGAAGTAACAGGTGTCAATGCAAGCTTGTTGTTAAATATTAGACCGAGCATGTAGCCTTTAATGCTATTTTAGCAACTCTCTGGAGAATTAAACGCAAGCGTGAATTTGGGAAATCTTTGACTTTACCACAGAGAGGAAATTAAATTTTGAATGCAGTGCAAATATTAAAATACTATATTGTTATGCTTTTAATGGAGATTTTAAGATCATGTTATAAAGAAAGGAAAGAAGGAAAAGGTGTTCGCGTATAGATTAATAGGAAGAAAAGAAAATTATGTACAATTTACTAGATCTTAGTAGGCTATATATTTTATCTTGTGTTATTTAGATATAAGCAGACTTTATATTAATATCTAGCCTATACATTTATCATGCATTAATAGAATAATATTTGTTTCATGACTTAACTCAGAAGAAATGTGGATTCTACGTACGTCTAAACCTTTATTATTTTTCTTTTTATTAAGCTTTCAAAAAGGTTATCGTAGATATCCATATTTCTTTTCTTATAAGCTTACACAGTATCTGTTTTCCTATTATTTAAATTTTCGCTTTTTTACAATATGCACCAAAATGATTTAAATACGCTTTGCTAGATTCCTTCTTTTTTAACCTTAGTCGCGTTTTCTGTGTTTGTTAGCACCATTATTTATGTTATATTATTACTTTTTTAAGTTAGTATTAAGTATTTTAACAATCGCATGTATAAAGTTAAAGTAAGCTTGTTCTTTACAACATTGCTAGCTTACCACGGAGGTGCTTATTGGAAAAGGCACCGTAAGCCCAAAAATCCGCTCTGTAAGAAAATTCGCTTTCAGCAATGGAATGGGGTACTTCTGTTATTTCTATCTGTACAGAATACAGTGTAGATTTTATGGTTGACTACCTATCGCCCGCGACTCCGTCCACTTAAGAATTTAATTAGTAGCCTATGTGTTCTTCAAAACTATGTTCTACGTCTATGTCAAATTTCAGATATATCCATGCTACCGTTCTGGAGATACCTTCAAACAAACATTCATCCATACAAACATTCGCATTTATAACATTAGTAAGATTCGTCTGTAAATTCACATCGTACTAAAATTAAAACATTTCTCTTAATTTATATGAATTGTTTAAAATATATTAACTGTTTAAAACATTAGTGCAACTTTAACTTTAACCCAATTAATCTTGCTTATCCCAATGTCTCCGCACTGCATTTGTCTAAGCTCATAAAGTCACTCGACTTTCCTCTTAAAAATATAGGGCTGTCAACATTTTATTAGAATGTATAATGTGACTTTATTTATAACAGAATAGAATACAGAAATAAAAAATAAGCAACAGACAGATGACCAGTGTACACACCATTCACAAAAAATAAACAAAGTTTAAATATAAAGATAGTACAAAATTTTACTGAACTTAACTGTGGGGAAAAATGTCTAAAAGTATTTTTTTAATATTTTTGGTAACATTCAAATAAAATTACCATGACTTTTTTTAATGTGTTTACACTTCAATAGTCTACAAAAAGAGTTAAGTTTTCAATTAACTTATTTGATGTGTTTAGTTACTTTAAAATACATGTTATAAAACATAGCATGTTTAAAATTCATTATTTATGTAAAGCAACATAAATTGAGAAGGATAAACCAAGGTAAATGGTTATATTTCATGGAACTTATAACAGGGATGAGATATGGCGAAAACCTTAACAAATTATCTCCTTGATTTGGAGTTAATGAAAAAGCGAGATAAGTTCCATAAAACGCACGTGTGGCAGCCCTGCCCAGCGGCCATTACATAAATAATGGCGCCATGTTTATTGCCGCCATTTTGAAGACAAATGGATAGTTATTACGACGCACTCCGTTTTACATTCGCTCTCAGTGTTGAAAATTAAAATATTGTGTACAAATTATTTTAACATAGCTTAACTGCGTGCGAGTCGATTTACTAGCACTTTGACCACAATGATTCGAAATTCGAATTCGCTTCGCTTTTGGATCTACATACCTTGGGTTTTTGAGCCCAAAATCTCCGTTTAAAAAATATCATCTCTATCATTATCTTTTGCGATTCTGAACTCAGAAACCCACGGCTAGTTCTGCGTGAAAGGTTTGGTGGAACCATACAGTTCTCTGTCAATATTGATTTTGTCTCAAAAGAAAAGCTTGCATGAATCCGCTTACATTTAGTTTTCGCTTCGCTTTCGTTATGTTTGTTGTGTAAAACAATAGAAAGCGAAACATTCGTATTTTGAATCCGTTTAAGTTTTATATTACAATGTGCTTGGGGCATGGCAGTTTCGGATGTAGAACTTTATGTCCTTCGAAGAACATTTGTATTTTTTGTATACCCATTTATATTTCCCGAGGGGCGCAATGTTACTCGTTATTTGCATTCTATTTTGCAATAAATAACTACGAGTTAATAAATTCTCACGCGTCACTAAGTCTTGTATTTGTATTTACCCATTTAGTTGTTCTCAACAGCGAGAAACATACAACGCACCATTAATTTTCTTTCTCTACGATATTCGTTGTTATTACTTTTATTTTTCATAGATTTCAGACTTTCCCACTCTCAATAAATGCTATTTAGCTTAAATCAATGACTAAACAGACTACCAAATTACTATTCAGTTGTTATTCTTACACCAGGAAAACAAAAGAATAGATATTTTGAGAGTAAAGAGAACGATATCTAGTTACAGTTGTGACGTCATTATATCGTTGAGTTGAATGTATATTTATTGAGGATTGCTTCCGACTTGAGATCAAACAACTCTTGGAATCCTGCCGCGAGTCGACAATAAAAGTGTCCGTATGACTACAACAACGAAAGCATTGTAAATGTGAAAAATATGTTCCAGTATTTTTATTTCATTTTCCATTTCACTTTAAATTTACAAACAAGTTTTCATGGGCAAGACCTCATTTAATTATGGAAATAGTAGAGATTTAAAATTAAAAAAAAATACAAAATGTTGTTACCAAGATTCTCAAAGTAATAACTGAAACCAAAATATACATTTCCTTTCGTTCATTTATTGTTCTTTAACGAGACTTTATGAACTAAAATATTTGAAATTATACCCCAAATTTTAACATTCACGCGCTGATTTAATTTTGTGCTCAATTCCTTTATATTTTTTTTTAATTTCCAGAATCCAGATATAGTACTGGTGCACTACCTGAACGTACCATACCCTGACGACAACAAGCTGGCGACAGTGGCACCCAGCCTGGCACTATGGGCAGACAAGAAGGAGTGGACGAAAGACGAGCTCGTCAGCCAACTGAAGCCCATGTGTAAGTGACTCACTCATGATCATAAGAGTTATATATAACATATAGGTCTAGCATTGGCATTTTAGTCGTAAAGAGATTTTCGGCATTGTATGTCTATGAAGATTTAGGATACACTGGTGAACATGGTATTATGGTATGATAAACATGGTGAAAAAAGGGTCATCATAGACAGACGGATGGACAACAAAGTGATCCTTCCAGGGTTCCATTTTTGTCCTTTCCAGGTACGGATACTTGATTTGGATTCAAAAACAACAGTTTAAGTATATAATATTATGAAAATAAGGATCTTGAAATAATTATTCGAAATTATCAGAAATCTTTTCCCCTTATACTTGAGTATTATGAAAGATAAAGTAAAAGTTGTTTCTGAAGTTATTTATACGAATTCAAATTAGTCCAAAGAAGCCAGAAATTCATAACGTAGTCAAAAAGATCCATAACTGTAAAACACAGCAAATTAAAACGCAACAAGGAAAGTTGGCGGCTCGCTGTTGAATATTCATTAGGAGCGAAATGAAAATTGATTTTATTATACGGCTTAAATCCCAGATTCTCGTGAATGAGATCACTTTCAGAGTACATTTATATGGATTTAGCTGCCAACAAAAACATCATCGCAGTTTTTTTGGGACTTTCTTTTATAATCGTTTATTGATACGTCATTGAATAGATTTCTTTTTAAAATAACTTATCGATAAACGAGGCTTTTTAGGACTTTTTTATAAGATCAGAAATAATAAAACTAATTCTTATACTATATCTTTTTCAGTTTTCAGTGAAGACGAACCGGATATGAATAGCGAATTGGAAATATCAGTAAGTGTTTTTATTCTTATAAACCTTCGTATTATTAATGTGTATATTGAACTTTTTACTATCATTAAATGTCAGGGAAAAATGTTCCAGACTGCGGAAACTGTCGAGGCCATTGTAGGGCAGCTAATGGAAAAGCAAAGAGCTGCCAGAGCTGCGGCGTTGGCAAAGCAACTGGAATGCGGATGTCCCGATTCGACCTGTCAGGATTCTAGAACATGCGCGCATCCACTACGTCGCATTCAAGCTGCAAAACCTCCAGCTTCAGATCACCATGTATCATCTACAACTGGCCCATCTCCGAGACCGATATCGCAGCCGCCACGTCAATACACCAGAGATCACAGGACGACGACACAATCAGCATCCCCATTACTTCTGTCACTTGGCCAAATTCAAGGAGGCGGTGGCTTGTTGATATTAAATGGAGCTGGAAATAGTTCACAACAACATTCATCTCTCGTTTCTCCCCTCTCAGTGACATCGTTTGTTTGCGAGGAGCCAAGGGACAGATATCGACATCAATACAAACCAACGTTTGTATTAAAAAGAGAAATACCAGACAGTCAACCATCTTCTTGCCTCCATAATTCAGAATCCACCTTTGAAGTAGAAACTCAAGTAGAGGAAAAAGTTGTTGTAGAAAGTTTCGAACGAAAAATAAAAATGGAGCCCCGAAGTAGGAATCAAGTAATTGCTAGTGCCCCGGCAACACCATCACGGTATCCTGATTTAGTAGAACGATTAGAAAGTAAGGTGTTAACGGACAACTGTGAGGATACGTTAGTTTTGTTAGGTACAGATGGAAGCTTAGCACACACTAGTGCATTTTTCGACGAGACTTTAGAACTCTCACATGAAGATATCCAGAAAACATTGTCTGCAAATATGCCAACATGTGAATTGGACAGAGGTGGAACTAGAACTTCAGATACTGCAAACGTTATGGTGTCGGGAATCGATACAATGGATTTCATAGAAAGTTGTGAAGCAGTAGCTTCACCAACACAAGTAGTAGACGACAATGTATTTGTCAACTTAGATGCTTTTGATATGCTTGGAGACTTTCCTGAATTAGAAGTTCTAGATCCGAATTCTTTATCAACTAACCCAATAGTGAGTGTTAATTCTTTTAAGTTATATCTTTTGCCGATAAATAATTTTCAATAAAACTAATTACATTATAAAATTTACAGCCCATATGTGGAAAAACTTCTCCCATCGATGATTCAAATGAAAAAATGCAGACTGACTGCGCTGGGGAAGGAGCCTTGAGCATAACTGATTATTCACCTGAATGGGCTTATCCAGAAGGAGGAGTAAAGGTCTTAGTAGCCGGGCCATGGACAGATACCTCAGATCAATATACAGTACTCTTTGACAATTTTCCTGTCCCATCAATACTTGTTCAGAATGGTCTTTTACGGTGTTACTGTCCCGGTAAATCTTTTCTATATTTTTATCTTATCTGTATTTATTCTTGGCCTTGTGAGTGATATCCCATTCTTACCTAGTTTTAGTTGGCCTAATGCCAAGTTGGACTTAACCTCTTAACATATTTCCTACTTATAACAATTGTTATTGATTTGTGTTATTTAAAAAAAATACACTTCATTCCAGCTCATGAAGCCGGACTTGCAGCTCTTCAAGTGGCTCGCGGAGGTCAAGTAGTATCGGATACAGTTGTGTTTGAATACAAAGCGGGTCCTACACCTACTCCTACTTCACCTGCATCTGCCCCTTTACCGTCACTGGATTTTCGGCGGTTTTCACTTTTGCAACGATTACAACGATTACATGGCAGACTGCAAGTGAAGACTGAGCCAATGGATGATAACAATCAGGTAGTGAGAGAAATTTTTGTGCTGTCCACTTACTTTTCATAAAAGAAAACTATCAATTTATGCAATGTTCCCCCTTTTTCATGATCATGGAATTTAAAATTAACGGATTTCTGTTTCAGGTGGAAGATGTGCAATTATATTCAAATCCAAAATTTGAAGAGCGACTCGTCACATTTTGCAAGATACTGAGCTCTCGTTCTATTGGCAATGCTGAAGGTTTTACCACAGAGCCTGGCGAAGATAGTTCTACTATTCTTCACTTGGCTGCTAGTTTGGGATATTCAAAGTTGACTACAGTACTTCTACGTTGGAGGCAGGATGACAACAGTTTGGCTTTAGAAAAAGAAGTAAATTTAGGAGCGAGGGATAGTGATAATTGTACCCCTTTGGTGAGAGCAAACTTTTTAAGAAATATATGATTGAAAGAGATATTGAATGACTGAATGATAAAAGTATCTATTCATTTTTTATCTAAGTTTTATTCAATCCAAATATTGTTATGCTTGGAAAGTTCTTCCTAGTTATATATCTTAATAAAATAAAATCAATTACATAAAAATAGTAACGATTGTATGAATGATGCCATTTATGTTGGTGATGTCCACATTGTACAAATTAATAAAATTCGATATGGTAAGCATTTTCAAAATTTAGTTCTAGCTTGTTTTAGTTATCTTGAGTTCTCATAACATTTTTTGGCCTCCTGTACTTTATTTGAAATCAAAATCAGTTTAAAATTTGGTTTGCTCGACAAATTTAGCCAGAATATTATTTTTACATCATTACTTGCGTCCAATTGCTTTTTATGTACATCCTTAATTTTAATTCCATTATGTTAGCTGCTCAAGAAGCAGCCAGTCACATTTAATGTTTACTGATTAATTCTTTTGTTTAACTTCTTCTTTGGAATATTCCAGATGGTGGCGAGCGCAGCTGGGCATATGGAAACGGCGGTTGTTCTGGCGCGGTGGGGCGCGGGCACACGGCAGGAGGCGGGCGGGCGCGCCGCTGCAGCTGCTGCCCGTCGAGCTGGACATTCTCGACTGGCCGCAATGCTGGATCGTATACACCCACCTACTGGTGATGCTGTATTTCGCAGACCACATAGGTAGATTTACAGGGACTATTTCTATCGAAAAATTTGCATACAAGGATACTTTGATTTAGACAGACTTAGGGATCGTTTTGTGCGCAATTCTTACTCTGACAATAAAATTAAGAGTATCACACAATTACCTAAATACAAAATTGTCTTTGTCTTACATTTCCAGTTTATCGCAAAAGGGAAGAGCGGGCAGTTTGGAGAGCAACCTGGTCAAACGACCGTCTGTCGACAGTGGCATAAACATGGCAGATGCCTTCCGATCCAGCTCTGCTATTGAAAGGGGAGATGTTAGTTTGTCCGCCAGGTAATATACAACGCACGAACACTTTAGCTGATTTAATTAATTGATTTATTTAACGTTTATCATTGTTTACTAAATAATTTGAAGTACTTGGATTTCCAGATGGGAGCGAAGTATGTCATTGCCTTTAGATTCTGATACATCTGAAGACAGTCTCGGTGAACCGAAACTCGGCAAGCGTATGGACCTAGCTCTTTGTAAGTCTAAACACATACCATAAAATTTTCATTCCATAGACAGTTAAATTTTCATTTGCTGAAAATTATTTATTTATATCGGCACGGCGCCTTTATTGAAGATTGAAAATTTTCATAGAATTTATATTTTGCTTGAAACGCGTTTATAAAGCGGTTAACGGTAAAATATACGACGGTGACAACGGTTGAAAATGCGAAGTGAGTTCCTTCATAATATAAAAAAGAAATACGAAATGTAAATAAAAATTATGATGAAACATGAAAAATGATTTCCTTGATAAAATATAAAAACCAAATCAAATATAATGGTTTTTAAAATATCGATAAAAATTAAAAAATATATGAACAGCTAAAACTGTCGAAATACAACGAATAAAACAGAGTAACAAATCAATGGAACACATTTCTCAATAATGATAAGATAGAGCGTAAATATAGAAACCTAAATAGAATAAATAGTAGCGGGTACGAAGTCTGTAATGCAATAAGGGGAGGTTTCCAAGTAGGGTATGTGAGGGTCAGAAGGAGCTCACTCGCTGGCGTGCCGGCCGCTGTGTGCAGGCGAGACGGCGCCGCGGCGCGCGCAGAGCCCGCTCATAGACGTGGAGGCGCTCTCCTCCGCCTCCTCGCCCGCCGCCTCCCCACCACCGCCCTCTAACAAAGGTCAGTTCGCTGCCGCACAAGGAATGGTATAGACGTCAATGGCAACGTTTCCCAGGAAATGTTACTCTAGTCATTCAAAATTTTAACTCTGCAAAACCGAATTTTTGGGACCCTGACTCAATCTGGCTATATAACATTTGTGACTTAGTAAAAGTAAGGCATAATGTGATATTACGTTATGTTTGACTTTTTACTATGCAACTTGACGATATAAAAATCGATATTCTTTTTAAGATAAAAAAAAACAGTTCTATACCATTTCAAGTTGCAGCAATCCCTCCGCTCGACCATATCGATGTTGTGAATGTAGTAGTTGCATTGCCGCTAAGGCTGCCCGATCTTCTTCTTACCAAAGGTTGTCTGCGTATCTTTGTCCCTTTCTATCGCCAAACAGTAGCCGGAACGTCATCGCTAACGGTAGACCACTTGTAGTTTCTTCTGTTATTCTGTATCCAAGATCGAGCGGAGTTTACAGGTGTTGATTGTAGATGTAAATCAAACTAAACCGAATCATAATAATGCTTTCAATGAAAGATAAGTTATATTATTCTGATCAAGACAAAAGAGAATTTCGAATTCCGAAATTCCAGTCTCATTTTATCTGTCAGTCAGGACTGTTGTCTTATTCTTTCATCAAATTTAGTATTTGTTCATTGTATTTGGTTCGGTTTAGTTTATTCGGTGTTGTTAATCGGTGTCGCTTTCAATGGTTCGTATCGGTCCAACCACAACTGTACCTCGAGACACTCCACACAGTTCGCTTTCTCTTCAGACTTCTCCAGATATTCCAGAACACGTGTTTACAGGTCCGGAACACTTCTTAGCGACAACTTTACAGTACACTGCATGGCGATACAGCTGTTTGCATGAGTCTATATCTATTTGATGCTTTTTATGTGTAGTTTAAACGATAGTTTTGTGTTCAATTTATATTAAAGGTAAGTCGTGATCGCACATCATTTCCTAATCACTGGTCTCGCTAAAGATTTCTTTATGTTTACACATGTCTGTGTCACACTTTGATGTTAGAATTATACACTTTATAAAAACCTAGATGTATAAAAGTTGACTGAAAACTAAATACCCTAAAAAAACTATGTCTTCTTTCGATGTATAGTTTTAAGATTCCAGTATTTAGTTAAAAATCAGAAGAATGAAGTTTAATGGCATTTGGAAAAAAAACAAGAATATTATAAACTCGATACTAATGAATGATAATTTTGGTATTGCCGAATACCTTTTGCCTACTGCAATGTATCGGAAAACAGTCAGACCTACAAACTATTTCGTTCTAGATTCTACTTCATAAAAAACTTTCAGGGGAGCAGGATGACCGAGTGTTCACTCTGGCAGAGCAGATAATAGCCGCTATGCCAGAAAGGATAAAGGTAAATATACAAAAAATAGAGAAACAGAAATTAACAAAACATTTTATTTATATTAGGAATATTTCTCATGATGTTAGGTGAACATCAGTCTCCATTAACGTCAATGATGTTCGAGTAGTTAAAGTACGATTTGATGGATAAAAGGAACAATATTAAACAATTTTTACTTTTCATTCACTGATTTTAACTCCGTATACAATGCAGAACGAAAGTTCATCGCTATTCTCCGGCTGCGGGCTGGACAGCGGCCCCGGCGGCAGCGAGGACGTGCTGATGGCACCCTTGCTGGACGAGACCGCAAACTTTAGCACCGAATTTACTTTTGAGTTCAGCGACAACACCTACAGGTATATTGCTTACATTCTAAGTTTGTTTTTGATATTCCAATAAATTTTGATTTGGATAAAATTGGGATTATGAAAGTTGTGATTAATCTGACCTAAGTTTTAGTTATGGGATTGATAAGCGGGATTTTCTGACAAAGTACGAAGTGTAGAGTATAAAAGCATTTCTTTTGTTAAAGGTGGTAATATATTGAGTTTATTGCAGATACTGCGGCGGATCGACTCCGTGCTCATCTGGTTCGGTGTCGCCGGGCTCAGCCCTCTCACCCCCTCCTCCCTCCCCCCGCGCTATTCCCGGCACCCCTACCGCCACACTGCAAGAGTTCCTTAACGCAACTACACACTTTTCAAGCTTGACTTTGAATGGTGAGTAAGATAACAAGACATATCATATTATTCTAAAACATTTCTTACATCCCTTTATTGCATTTCTTCTACTTCATTATTATTTGCTATCTCTTGTATCCATTCTCTTACTTTTGCAAAAGCTCAACTCGCTTTTTTTACACCTTTTATCTGCGTATTCGTACTCCATTTAATATTTCTTAAGCCTATCTCTAAACACGTATCAAATCATATTCCAGATCGTGAGCAACGTGAGCTGTACTCAGCGGCTATAACCATCCAGAAGGCGTACAGGCAATATCGCGGCCGGCAGTTACAGCGCCGCGCAGCCGCCGCCGCCATCACCATACAAAACTGCTACCGTCGATACAAGCAGGTAAGAACTATATGAGAAACTCCTTTCGAAGACACACACAAGAACTGACAAATGTTGGCTGCTTATATACAAAACTCCTATCTCAGATGCGACCGGAGCAAAAAAAAGTAGTTTCTTCGTACCTAACTGTAGCGATACAGATACAACTTCCAACCTCGCACAGCCGTGTTGTGGAATGGTCTGTCCTCGGTGGTATTTTCAACCTGCTACGACTTAGGGTCCTGCAAGAAGCGATCGTATCACTATCTCATAGGCCGGCAACGCATGTGCGGTTCCTCTGTTTTTGCAGTTGTCTATGGGTGTCGATGAACACTTCGGTGTTCCCGCTGCTCGTTTGCTCCCTTCTCTTATGAAAAAAAGATACGCACTTTTATAAAGAACTGCTAATCCAGATCCGGATACATGAATTGAAATATAGTATGTAAAAGTTAACAAAATGTTGTTAATCTTTTAATGTGGGAAAGCCTTATTTAATCTGATGCTTCGCAAAAGTATTATTGGGTGTGAGTATTAACCTCTTAATTTGATTTTTACAGTTCGCTTACCTGAAGCAGATGCATGCGGCGGCGACAGTGATCCAAAGAGGATACCGCTCACTGCGCGAGCGCCGGCTGGCCGCCTCATCTGTCAGGTAACTATCGCTTTTACATTATAAAATAAAAAAAATAAGAATAAAGGATAAATGATTCTGATACTTTATAAGACAATAGTCGCAAATTATTTGCTTTTTTTCCTAAATCTAACTTGAACATTTTCCAGGAGAACATATTCGCAAAGACGCCAAAATCAAGCCGCGAGGAAAATTCAGCAGTTCATGCGACAGTCGAAGATCAAGTTAGTATTGGACTGATCTACTTTTAATATTTAATTGATATTGTATAAACTGTTATTTAGTACATTAAATTATTAAACAAAACATGCTTATTAAAATAAAACCAATTTCACGCTGCCAGTACGTGGGAAGAAATATCTACAAGTGTAAGTTTTACATCTGTATTCAATTAATTATGTAGTGAAGTCGTTCAGATATCATCTTAATATGCCAGAGACATAATAGAAATAATACAACAATTGCAATAATTAAAAATAAGTAAAAAGTAAAATGGTTTTAAATATTGCAATAGGTTGCAGAACGCACGAGCAGAAAGCGGGAAGGTGGGCCGGCCCTACCCCGCTGCCCGCCCAAACTCCTCGCAGCCCACCACCAGTATGCCGCACACGCCCAATAGGTAAGGTTTTAGACCCAAGCTTTTCTAGCAAGTAAATAGCCCTTCCTTCCATATAGCAATGTTGCTTTCTTTGGGATTATTTTCAACTAGCTATCGCCCGTGACTCCGTCCGCGCAGAATTAAAAAAGAAACTTAATTAGTAGCTTATGAGTTATTTCAGGCTATGTTCTACATCTATGACAAATTTCACCTAGCGAGATCAATGGACCCGTTCTGGAGATACCTTCGAACAGACATCCATCTATCTAAACATTCGCATTTATAATATTAGTAAGATTAAGTCACCGTATATCGTCGGCTTCATAGTTTTGGTAAAAAAATTGTCCCAAACGTAAAATATTTTGTCCTTTTTTCAGAATCATCGACTACCTGGCTCCCGAATCACCAATGGACGCTGATGACGATCTGCTGCTTGAACTTTTGTTTAAAACATGACCCCTTACAACTGACACAGTACGAAACAAAGACATTGCTGTTTTATGAAACGAATCAAAAAATCCTGCGTATTAATTTTGTTATTAGTTGTTTAGTGTACATGTTTGCTACAGCTCCAGACATGTGTGGTCTGCGTTATAGTTTAAAACTAGTCATGTTACGTTGAATTGCTCGATAAAATCATTTATATTTATAAAAAGTCGCATTGTTAGAGCTGTTAATATTTCTGTTGATTTGTATTTGGGGCTGTTAGCTTCTAGCTTCATTATACAATTTCACATCGTTTTCATCTTCATTCATTCCAAACGATAACATTTAAAAATAGGTATCTCTGCGTTGTGAGATTACTCAGGCCTTTGAAATAGTAAAAATAATTTGTAGGAATGTAACTCCTGTAGAAGGTGAAATATGTATGGCTTTGAAGTTAATAGTTGTTCTGTCCTTCTCTTTGTTTTCGTTGTGTGTTGTTGTATTTTGTTTACGTTCCTTAGAAATGACTTGTTCAGAGTTTGGATTCAAATTTCTTCTTTATGTTAAACTCTTCAGGTCATAGACAGGGTTATATTTAGTATAAATTTTATCGTATTTGTATTATATTTTCATAACGTATTTTTGAGACGTTTGTTTAGGGCGTTTATTGGAATCATATTTTTGAAAACTCTAAATTGGATGTAATTTACCTAAAACATCCGTATATTGGCAATTGTTTGGTGATGAATTAGAAATTATTGACATATGCAATCGATTGTTTAAAAATTCTTATAAGAATCTGCGGTTAAAGACAACATCCATAGATTGAAAATGATTAAGTTTTATCTTTTGCATGTTTCGACTAAAACGTGAGTTCTAGGCTATATTATTAATTTTCATGATGAAGTAAAAGAGAGTAGGTTAAGTACAAATTCAAATTATTAAAAGCCACTGTTCTTACAAAGTAGATGCACCTAGCGTAGCGTATATTACAATAAACCCGACGAGCTGTGAGTATTTTGAGATTTTATCGTATTTAAGATTAAAAAAAATTAGTTTTACTATTGGTCTAAAGTTTACCGTAAAGGTTTCATTCCAGCCTAAATAGATTTACTTTTTTTTAGTCTACGCAGTGAATTAGACGAACGAATATCGAATCCTCTTACCCGTAGACCACACGTCGATCTTATGAAGTTTGTCTTTACACGTTTAAATGTTCATTGTTTTATTGTACCACTGTTAACTTATTTTAAAATGTTCTATTTGTTCAACGTTACATTTACATTTTCAAATCCCAACCCCACCCTAGTTCCTACTTCAAGTTATAAAATATATTATTAATTATCCAAACTATCTAGTATTAGTTCGTTAGTTAGTCATTTTTGTTTTAGATCCTCGATAAAGCTAAATTCCATAATTATCTAGCGTTCATGAAAAAAATAAGGTTGTGCACCACTTAAATATAGAAATAAATACCTAAATATCCCCCTTTTTCTGAATTCTCTGATATTTTAACTTAGTATAGTTAATAGACGTAAGGTGATAGACGTAATCATAGCTTATCATAAGACGACGGCGGCCGTCGAGATATTTTCGATTCGTATTTTTATAAAGCAAAAGTTACGAACGATAAAGTTTGCTTTGCTTTTGCGGGGCCGCGGCAAAGATGTTCTCTTTACTTTATCAACGCCAATTTGTATCGATTAAACGAAATTTAGCAAATTGTCGATTTCTATTAATTTGTATTTTTATCGTTTACAAGTTTAATTTTGAAGTTGTTTTGTAATAGTTTAGGATTCGCATCGTACGTACGTTGGTACTTTTAGAAATATTTTCAATGGGCGGGAGCTGTTATTTGTTAGTTTACAGCTAGTTTATTGTTTACAAAATTCAATGTCCATTTTGCTGAGATTTGATAGTGATTTATTTAAATAAGCAGTTCTAGTAAATAGTTTACGTGATATCAATTATTCAATATATTAAAATTTAGTAAATTGCGCAATGGAATGGTATATTGAAACTTGTCAAATAGTAAACTGGCAACTGTTAGATGAATGTTACGCGACGCAGTTTGATAATAACCGTCCAGTTGTGGCGGCTGGTACCCTCGCGTGGTGGACGGCGGGAGTCGCACTGCAGGTACAAGCGAAATCGGACAGTGTTACGTAAACCACAAAGACGAGATTCGCTTGAAACGAGACATGGGACACCCGAGGGCGCACGATTGCAACATGTACATTTTATATTTTTGGATTGCTAATTTTAAGATGTTATATTTATATATGTATATGTAGTGATGGCGGGTACGAAAACAGTATTTCGAGATGTATTGCGCCAAAAGTTTTGATGTATTAATTTTCCATAACGTTCTCTTGTTTTTTCTTTTCGAATGAATAGTTGGTTTAGCTAGTGGTCATGTATATATTATGTATTTTTGGATAGCGTGCACGATTGCTTCTGGGATTCCGCCGGCGCCGGTCGCACGGTGTTCGCGATGAATGCGATGAAAAGATATAAAAAAAAATTAAATGAACAAAATAATCAATATTTTTAAATGTAACGCAAAACCTCTGAAAGCAATAATATTTTTGTGGTAAGAATTACTCCGATTTATAACAGTAAATAGTATTTTATTATCCACGCAATCGTCACACGACAATTCATTATTTAGGAAGCTTCACGGTGTTGCCCTAAAATGTGCTTCTACGATTTTTTTCCTAGATTTTTAATTTTTTTTTTGAAAAAATTATATCGTGAGCTATATTTAAACAATTTTATTAGTATGTGGTTAATATAACTATTTCTTTTACATACGAGGATTTTTTCTATTTTTTTTTTATGAATGAAGCACATTATTAGGGCAAGCCTTAGTAATTGACCACTGCTAAAAGATAGTGCACTAGACGTAGATATAGTTAGATAAATTACTACTTACATATATAATATAATGAAATGAAAAAAATCTTGAAATCTATACATAGAATTAAAAATTAAAAAAAAATAACTAATACTTTTTATTATTATATAGTAAGAGGCTTGTTCACATTTTAACTTCGTATTAGTAAGTAAAGTTAAGTAATCAAATAGATTTGGACGGTACTGGAATGTGGTATTTAGTAAGATTACGTTTGATTTTTTTTTATCTTTGAGAAGAGTGAGGTAATGCAGGGTGGTTACGTGGAGTTGTCTGTTGGAAAGATATCGAAAATGATGGAAGAGTAATGACTTTTTTTCTTAAACATATAATTTGCTTAACCACTTGTTAGATTATTTTTGTATCACGTAATTATTCTGTAAATAAATTAAACTATTAAACGCCAAAGGCGATTTATTTAAATTGTGATAAAATTGGCAAAGAACAATTCTTTTGATGCTTAGAAAAATTCTTGTAATAGCTTTTGTTTTATAGTTTTTAATTTTACTTTAAAGAATTTGCTATTTAAATCATGTTTTTAACTTAATATTGTTTCTTTAATAGTCGCTTAAAAGCAATTAAAAGTTAACTTTGATATTAATTTAAGATAAATTGTTAAATCTTATACACTCTTTATTTCAATTGAAATATAAGTTTATATTAAGGTATTTATATTATCGAAAATGCTTGTTAATTAAATATATTTAATTTAAAAATAATCTTTTCGTATGTTATTTTATTGATGGTGAAAAAATTTTGTATGTTTTTTTGATAAATGCACATAAAATTAGCATATGTTTTTAGTTGTTAAATAAAATAGTATATTTTAAAAATAATGCAATTGTAAGGTCAATAAATAGTTTTCAAGCTTAGTCTTGATTGTGATATTTGTACAACTGATTGGACAATACTAGTGCATGTTCTAGATATGAGATAGATTTAAGCTCAGATTTAGACAAGTGAGCGATCACGCAAATTGTGCAACTACACTAAATTGTAAATCAACTAATATAAAACAGTTCTATTCAGTCCATCAGTCTCAGCTAATCAGTCAGACTGAGTCTTTTACTCTGACTAAGATATAAGCTCAAAATTACATAATTGAACAATCTCGCTAATTATGCAATTACATAGAATTCTAAGTCTAATTTTAGACAGTTCTATTAAGTCCATCAGTCTTACTAGCTGATCAGTCAGACTGAGTCTTTCAGTGTGGTTCAGGTTTAAACTAAAAATTACATATATGATCGATCTCGCAAATAGTGCAATTACACAGAATTTTAAGTTGAATATTAGACCGTGCTATTCAGTCCATAAGTTACCAGTCAGTCAGTCTGAGTCTCACTCTGACTCAGGTTTGAGCTCAAAACGTTTCTTGTCATATAATTAGCTCACTCTAGCTCTAGAACATGAAACCTAGTATTCCAGCGTAAAAGTTGTACGATAATTAGAAATGAAATTAGTTCAATGCTAGAACAAACTTATAAATTCCGAATGTCGATGACAACGAAAAATTTGACTTTAGAATTTTAGATGCTTATCATTTTGATTATTTTAAATAATATTATAGTCAATGCAATTTTATCCGTTAATAAAATTTTTTCTAATATATTTTATATTATACGCGTTTGATAGATTTTATTTTGTAAGATTTATTAGTTTTGCGATCCTTATATTTAATTTAGTAGAGAAAGTAAGAGATCGTAATTGTACTGCCAGTTTCAAGGTTTCTAACACCAATATTTATGGAAAGATGTTTGAATGGATGAGGTAAAATTGTATCCTAATAAATCTATATATTCCTAATACATACGTAATACCAATTTAATTTTTTTTAATTTAAGTAATAAGGCACTTGCACTGTGAGATTATGCCACGAAAAAAAAAATTCTTCATCTGGATTTTAAAAGGTAAACATGTGGCCCTTCACAGTGTTTTAAGGCCATTTATCCTGTCTTTTTGTACAGTAAATACTTATTTTGTTTTATTTTTTGTAAATTACGTTGTTTTAGTAAATGTATGAGGGTGTAATGTTATTAAAGATTTGTAAAAATCTATCTTTTGTTTTATATAAATATGTACAAAAAGCAATTGTTTCTTACAATAAGAACCACCAAGTAAAATGTACATTACTTTGTTACTACGATCAAATTTGTTACTGCTACTACAAATTCCTAGTAGACCGATATTTTATTCGAAAGATAACGAAGTTCCATTTTGTTTTCTCTGTATTACTGTTTAGTAAATTATGCGATGAGCGTTGTTTTAATTAAATACAATCTCACCTAGACAAGCGAGAACTAGCTAAGTGAGACACCACACTAAGTCATTGTCCTGTCGGACCCGTAGACTTTTCATTCTGGTTCAACTGTTTATGGACAGTTTATTATGTAAACCAAGAGTCTATATATAAGTAATTTGGTGGTTCTTATTGTATTGTTAATAAGACGCACTATTATGTAATAGTCGGTCAATACATTATGTACAACTACATTCCTATTGTGATTTAATCGAAGGTATTGGATATGAGTAAGTGACAAAAATGTCAACTGGTGTTTGTGCAATTTGACGAAAAAAAAAATCTTCCTTTGTAATTATTATAATCTAATAAACACTACAAAATTGTGATTCAAAGCAATTCAAAATATTAATGCTGATTACATTTGATGTTTTTTTTATTTCAAACCCTCACCATCTATCTCCTTGTGACTTCTAAGCTTCGTCGGCTCTTACACTTTCCTGCCGAGAAGCTGGAGCCTACCATATGACTAGACTATGCTCCAGCTCACAGAAATATTGCGAATACATCAATGGGCATTACCACTTATGTAGATTTAGGAAGAAAATCCGACACTGTGTCGGTGTACTGGTGCAAAACTAGTCTTACTAAAATGTCGACGTTAACACGTTAGCTGCCGTGTCGGACTATGTGTCCGACAAGTCATACTTCCATTCAACACCTCGCTGTGGCTTTTTAATCGAATTGTTGTATATAGCGTGATCCGCAAGGTCCCATTTAAATGGTTTTGGACAAAATAAAAAAAAATAAAAAATTTCGATTTTCGAAAAATCATTCTGACAGCTAACGTGTTAATGCACCCTCACTAATCATTCTGACACTTGGATTCTAAAAGTAGATAACTTAAAGACTTTTATAATAAACTAGCGGATCCGACAGACGTCCTGTCTACACGTCTTTAATTTGAAAATTCGAATATTATTTAAAATTTGACACTACGATGGTAGCGCCGTCTGTCGGATCCAATTTAAAACATTCCAAGATCAACAACTACTAATAAATTAAAAATCAATTAAAAAAAACATTGTCCAGCGGACAAAATTGTGAATCTAAACCATTCCCAGATCCCCTTGAACACACACAAAATTTTCATCAAAATCGGTCCAGTCGTTTGAGAGAAGTTCAGTGACATACACACGCACAGAAGAATTATATATATAAAGATATGCTTGTATTACAATGTATTCTTTCACATTTAGAACAACAAATAAATCTTATAAATAAAATTCTCGTGTTACAATGTTAGTTACACACTTATAAACATATGCAACATGGCTGAGAATCGTCTACTATCTATAATCCCGCGCGGACGGAGTCGCGGGCAACAACTGGTACAGCGAAAAATACACTGGTTCATGGCATGGAACGAATATAGAACTGTAGTTAACAAGTCCAAAGGTTAACCACGTTACCTATTTGACAATATAAAATGATAACGTAACATTTATGTGGGTAACAAATACGTGATTAAATTAAGCCTAAAACAGATCACGTAGAAATTTAACGGCCTGATATTTTACTGATATTGATCATAATTTGCGTGACAATATCCAATATGGATACCTAAACGATTATATCCTTTGCAATTTTTTGTATAATTGAAATACATTTAACTCACAAATTATACTCCGCAAATGTAACTAAAGAAATTAAACAAACAAATGTCTATAGCTAGAGAAAGAAGCCATAACACAATTTTAGTAAAGTGGTTATTAAACAATACTAACTGTCGCCAGCCACACCGTCCGCGCGCTATAGAAAAAAAAATAGTAGCCTATGTGTTCTTCCAGACTATGTTCTACTTCTATGCCAAATTTCAGTGGAATCCGTTCATCCGTTCTGCAGATATCTTCAAACAAACATCCATATAAATTATTTTAGTAGAATGTATCAACTTTTTGGTAAAACCACATTAGTGTTGTGACACTAAAACTCTGTTTCATGAAAGTTTACCTTGTGTAAAATGTTTATCTCATTTAGTACATACGAGGAGAAAATTCCGTTAATGAGTAGCTTCAAGGCGATGAAACTAATCCCCAACTAACCGCTGTGACCAACAAAACTCTGCTTTTTGTATAAATCCAGCTTACTTTTGATGCGCTAGAAAACCTTTTATTTATATTGTAAATGCTAATTAGCTTTATGTCGCAACAACTTAAAGTTAAAAATGCAGGTGTAGTCAAAGAATTTAATTAGGTTCCCACTAAGGATAAAAATGTAGAGCAAACTGTTATAAGTTGAGGTAATAAAATTCCTTGACTTTAAAAGCAAAAGCAAAATCGAACTTTTGTATGAAATCGGATATATCTTC